AAGAATATGACAAGGAGGTAGTTACAGGTACATTTGCCACGAAACATTACAAAAATATTTTATCTAGTTCACACCAGCTACCACTAACCCATGCCTGGATAGAATCTTATCAAGTCACCTAGGCTAGCCTCAAACTCTAGATCCTCCTGCCTCTGCCTCCCAAGTACACAGCTGGGGTTACAGGTGGGCACCAGCATCTCCAGTCTAGTTGCTTCACTCAAGAAACACAGGTCACACTTCAGAGGAATTGCTTCTATTAGATAAGTGGATGACATAAGTTTGTAGGGTAACTGGCGGTACAGAAGACATGAAATCTATAAACAGCTCAGCAGGGTTGAATATGAGCAGTCCACAGCAGAGGGTGGACTGAGACACTTGCAAAGTAGGTACCTGAAAACTGTCGTGTAGAAAACGGGGAAAAATGGGCTTTGCAGATAGACAGACCGACCCAGGTTCCAGTTCAGGTCTGTCTCCTGCTTGCTGTGCATCTTTGGGCCAAGATTGGACTGGCTCTGCCCTCAGCTTCCTCCTCTGAAAAATGGGTCTAATAAGTAGCTAGGTCCCAGAAGTGGTCTGAGCTTGGCTTAGGAAGTGACACAGGGCAGGTACTCGCCATCAAGTACAGTTATGTGTAAACCTAGAAAAGGCTCACTCTTGAATTAGCAATTACCCGTTTCTTTTCCCAGTATGAAGTAAAAGGTCAGAGATTTTAATGTAAAAGCCCCGCAGAGGTTTCTTCTCCTAATTCATCTACCACACTAGCAAAGGAGCCCTGTAAGCCGAACTTGGCCAAGTCTGTTTCATTCCTCTGTCAATGGGAGCCTGGGACTCCACTGCATTGACAGCTGCTGATGTGGATGGGACGGGATGGGCGGCCTGGTGGCATCCGTTTCACACTTCAGAGGGCTCCGCTTCCAACAAAAACACCCCATCACTGTCAGTCAAGCACAGTTACAGGGCGTGACGGACAGACTGCAGTGAAAAGGCCGGCTTCCTGACTTTTCTGGCTACAGCGATGGGACTTGCTTGATTCTGGGACCCGGGTCTATTATAAAAATGGAGAGACCACATCCCTGACTGGCTCTGAAAATCATCAGGACTAGGAGGAACACTCGCCCATCTGAAGACCTTGATGTTATTTTGTAAATTTTGATCAAAAAGTCCTTGTGCTTCCCAATATGAAAAAACGTTCAGCGTCTCCAAAGCAGAAAGTTCAGATGCGCAGCCAGGAATTGCCGGGGTTGGGGGTGCATCACCATTCCAGCTAATGGAAGGTGGCTTGAGCTGGATGCTCAAAGCTCTGGCAAGGAGCGAACCTTTCCAACAATAATCCAATGCGTGTCATGTTTATGAGGAAGTACAAAAAGTATCTGAAATTCACATAAAGCAAACTATATGCATTTTTATAAAATCGCTCCATTGTAATCTTGCACAGCAGAGGTTCCTATAGCAAGAAGAACTGTGTCAAAACGCATGAGGCTGAACAGCTTCCTGTAGAGAGCACCGATAGGTGGAACATGATTCCAGTTGCATTTCAAGCTTTAAATTTTATAAATGGTCTCCATGTGCAAAATTATGGAAATTATCAAAAGAAATATAATATATCCCCATGTAATGCTTGGGTAAGATATCCAGGTTTTCCAAAATATATCAAATAAAAGGAAGACATACATATAAGGCTGCTAAATTAAAATTCCATCATTAAGATAGTTTATTATTCCTTCTTTTCTTTTCTTTCTTTTTGAGACAGGGTCTCACTATGCAGTTCAGGCTGGCCTTGAACTCACAATGATCATCTGGCCTCAGCCTCCCAAGTGCTGAGATTACAGGTGTGAGCCACCACACCTGGCTTTTCTTTTCTTTTTTAAAATCTTCCTTGAGGATGTTATTTTTGGGAGGACAATGAAAACCAGGTGACTCTCGGAGACAATGACAGACCATGAGATCTGGCATCGTCTTCGCCTCTCTAGGTCAGCTGTAGCCTACTGTTTGCTCTAGGGAGGACCAGAGAGTTGTGTTTTGCACACTGGCATAGATTTCACAAACAAGTGAAAGAGAATGTCTGGGTCTGGGATGGAGCTCAGTGGCATAGACACTTGCATAGCAAGCACGAGGTCCTGAGTTTGATTCCCAGTAAAAAAAAAAGAAAAGAAAAAGTAAAAAATGGAGTGAATGGCAAGAAAATGCACACCAGCACCCCAAGTCACATTGATAATCTTCCTGCTCATGATCTTTCTGCAGACAGATAAGCTACATCCTCATGGAAGCTGGGGCCAGAGGGAGGTCTGTGGGGTCCAGGCCAAGGGGTGCTCAGTGGAAGTGATGCTGGTCACCCTCTAGATTACCTCGCGGCTCCCCATTCAAAGCTAAGAATAAGGCTATGGTACTATATACTTAAAGCAAAACACAGGACTATGTGATTTATTAGTTCCTAATTTGTAGAAATGGTTGAATAATTTTTCAAGAGGCAGAAACACAAACATTCTTTACTTGCAAACATGAAACAACACAAAGAAGGGGATCAAGATGGGCAGGTGGGAAGGGAGGGCAGGGGAAGGGGACAGAGACAGAGGTGAGATGTGCTGTGTGCAGGCACCAGCTTCCTGCAGGGAGTGCAAATATTTTGTACTGCACTCACATACTGATAAGCTGAACTAAACTAAAAGTATCAAAAAATACATAGAACCGTATCAGCTGTCAGATTTCAGTTCATGGGAGAGGAGTAAAGATTAGACTATACATAAAATTAAAACAGTGCTAAAAATAGAAAGAATAAGATCACTAGAAATTAAGATCTTCAATAATTATTCAGAAATAGAACAGAAAATTGTCACAAAGCCATCTACTCCAAAGCAAAACTTGACAGAAGGCAGATGGTTCTTAGAAGCCCCAAGTAGTTTGGAAATCAGAGTGCCAATGTGATTTACTGATTCACCCACAGACCCCTACATGCTCCCTAAGTCCTATGGTGAGGCTCCTTTGTATTATGGAGGATGGTAGAGTCAATCTATTTTTTTTTTTCCACAATCAGTGGTGTCTTATCAAATGTAAGCAACTTGAATTATCTTTTCATCAGTATAGAAATTCATAACATCTTTCTTCTGCAATGTGGTTTGCTACACTTTCTCACTTCTTCAAAATTTAGCTGAAGTAGACCAGTATTATTGTTACTTTACAGATGAGCCAGTTTACATTTTTATATCTTATGTTACTGTTATTATTCATGTCAAGGAATATGATTTGACCCTACCAAACTCGAGTAACAATGATTCCTGTCATAACACATAGTTCATAAGCACTAAGAAATATATAGGAAGCCAATTTAAATCAGATACATCTAACTCAATTTCAACTTTGCAAACCTTCTAGTTATGTAACTTTTAATAATCTCTGCAAGTCTTTCCCCACTGAACAATGGAAAGCTACCATCAGAGAGTTTCTTAGAACAAAATGAAATATGTATAAAACACTGTACCAGAATACAGTTTGCCTGTCAAATACTAGGGACTTAATATCACAGCTCTCTTTCTTTAGATATAACAGCACAAAACCCAGTATTTTTAAATACGAAATCTATGTTACTAGATGGCCCAAGAAGGCAAGGGCTATATGGCTGCTTGGGTTTTCAGGGAAACCCTAGAACCATAAAGGTCATCATTGGTGGAAATGGTATAGTCAAACTATTTTGATTGAAAAAAAAATAGATTGACTGTATCTTTTGGTGTGGCAAGTACCACTCCGCAGAAACCCTGAATATGCTACTCTGGCTGTAACATTCAGAATTTGCTCAAGGTAGTCATGGATTGTTTCTAGTTTTGAAGACAGAGGTTTAAGGCCGGGGCTTTAGCTCAGTGCCACAAGTGCCTGCCTGGCAAGCACGAGGTCATGAGTTCAATCGCTGGTACCAAAAGAAAAAAAAAAAAAAAAAAAAATATATATATATATATATATATATATATATATATATATATATATATATATTGAAGGCAGAGGTTTAAAATCAAAGCCGAAAAGTAAAGTCTCGCAGACCTGGGGCATGCCATCTGCCTAGCATTAAGCAAGAACCGAATGTCAGTTACAGAAGCAAACTCAAGGCAAACATGATTTATGTTCCATGTTCGAACGTGGCAGGAAGACTGCAAAAGATATTTGGAAGCCAAAGCTTCCTCTGGCCACAGTCAATGAGGCTATGCTAAGCCCCCTCCCTGGACCAGGCAGGCCTGTTAGATAAGTTGCCAAGTGACGCCTGTGACCCCTGCAGCAGCGTCGTTATCTGGGATGAGAAAATATCCCAAGGCCAATGATCACTGCTACTGTAAGAGCACAGCGCGCTGTATAAACACCGGGTCACACAACAGATATCCAGGATATTACTCAGAAACACATCCAGCTCAAGGCTGACAAGATAATCTGCTCCTGCGAGTGCAAAGTGGCCTGGAATGCTGCAGGCAGGACCTACTGGGGGAAAGAAATGGAGCGGGAGACTCTCCGGGTCCACCAAGCTCCTTCCCGCTGCGGGCCAAGCTCCAACATACTTCAAAGTCATGGTAGCCTAGGAGGCAGGGAGACCACGCCCACCAGGGGTATCACTTGCCAGATCGTGTTGCCATCTGCATTTGGTGGTGTGGCAAATGCAAATATTTCAGATACAAGTTTAAACAGATGAAAAAAAAAAAAAAAAGACACGTGAAATAGCTTGGAGATTTGCCTGCCGAAAGAAACCTCAAAATTCCAGGAAAGGTATTTAAAATCAAAGGCTCCTAAGGTATCTTGAAAGTCTCAAGAGAGTAATCAGACCAAAAATAAAAGTTTTTTTTAAATGGACATATACTGCACTCCAAATATCATATTATCCCAAAGTGTATAATTAAGGATTGCTAAGAGGTCAGCAGCCCATTCCTAACCAAAACAGAGACAATATTTCGCTGTTTTAACAAAGTGGTAACATACGTGATCTTCATTAATGAAGAAGAGTCAAAGTCATCGAACAACATACTTACAGGAGGACCTGTGGGTAGAAGGAGCAGAGGGACAAGAAAAGGGAGAGATGAATTAGAGAATATGCAAAACATTCCCGTTAAAGAATCATCTCTGTACTTGGAACTAGTGATTCTTCAACTATTTTTAGGTTCTGGACCCTGGATACTATCTCATTTATACCTGCACACATAATTTTATGCACAATTTCAAGGAATTTTGAGGTTCTCCAGAGCCTGTTTGCAAATTCCTGATTAACGTAACTTAAGACTCCTTAATATATAAAAGTTTAGCTAAAGATGAATTAGGAGGATCTTTGGTTTCTTATTAGTATGCAGTATGGATAGATAACTTCTTGGATTTGTTAAACTGCTAAATCAGAACCATATCTGCTTCTTATTCTAAAAATATTTTTCATTCAGCATTAAAAAAAAACCTTACTCCTCAGGTTTGTATATATGTTTTTAGAACTATGTATTTGTCATCAAAACATAGAGAAGTTATCAAATTTTAGTAATTCATATAACACATGCTCATTTAAAACCCCAAAGTAGTTGGAAGTTGGGAACTGACTTTTACATTTTCTATAGAATTTTGCATGAACATAACATTTTTCCCTTTACTCACTTCTTTCTTTTACCATAAAGAACATCTCAGTGAAGTCTGTCATTTTTTCCCTCCTCAAAATAGTTTTATTAGGCACCTTGTATTATGAAACTTTGTAGGATGGTGTAGGGATACTGCTATAGTTTCCAATTACTTAGATTCACAGAAATTTAAAGGTAGAATTTGAAAAGAACCGAGCAGCTACACTGCCCAAATTAATGAATTTTCATCACTTTTTACTTTGACAACTTTTCAAAATTAAAGAAGATAAAATACTCTTCCCCATCAATGGGCTGTCTGAGAGGTATTTCAACATTAAGCCATTGATTGTAATATTGACAAACACATAAAATACTGGAACCCAAAACTTTATAACATGCTACAATCAAATTTAAATTACTTTTCTTTAAAGAAACAATTGAGGGACTGCTAAGTGCTTCGGCTGCTCATTTACATTTTTGAAATCTTAGCCCTATACAGTAACTGAACATAATTATTGGCAGATCTTAGTTTCAAAAGTATTTAATTTGCCTTTTCTGTATTGCATTGGCCTGAAGCAAAAAGTTCCTGAAGTGGGACTCAGCAGGACTGGGTCTGTTTCAGGTTCTGCTCATGAAAATTTGTGGGGCCTCGGTTGAATCCCCTGATTGCTCCAGGCCTCAGTTTCCTCAACCACAAACTACAGCATGCTAGATGCTTCCAAGGGCTCTTGTCCATGCTCAATTCGATGGCTCTACAAAAAGGATGCAAATTCTCAGCGTTTGAAAGGAAAGAGAGTTAAAGCGTGACAAAACTGCACCAGTTGGACTAAATACGAACAGAACTTTTTAAAATATGTGCCCTGGTATGCTAAGGCAGATGTGTTTTTGAGGAAAACCTGCATTCCCTGACCACCTACGGAGCCGGAAGCCTGCAGCCCAGCTGAGAAAGCTTCCTCTGTGCACCGGAAGGGCCACCATGACTTGACACAGCAACTAGGCCAGATCTGAGTGTCAGTGGTTCCGGAAAGGAACAATACTTTGCAAACATTTGCAGCTTCTAGTTTGACAGAAAGAAAAAGAACATAAAAAAATTCTAGATGTAGGGCAGACGGTTTAAACCCCCATACAACTTCCAGCAAGAAAGTATTATTGTTAATTAGGAGGCACAGATGTGGGAGTCTCCCCAGAACCTGAATGACACGAGGCAGCTGAAAGAGAGACTTACCAGATTCTCCTCTTCGGCCCCTCTTCCCCCGTTTCCCTGGAGGCCCTGAAATACAAAGAATAATTTTTGAATGGATTTTAACTGTTTTTTTCTGGTTACAAATGGCTAGCACATAATTTCTATACATTTTCACTCTGTTCTTCACCACCAGCTTCGTGAAAGGGACCAGATGGTTGTAAAGGTCAATGTTGCCTCTAGCATTTCAGCACAACTCTAGGCTCCATTTAATTATAAACGAAAGCTACTCTAGATATCTAATCATCTAGTGTTATTTAAGAACACGAAAGACTCAGCATTTTTGCACATTCTGCTTGGATATCATCAATAAGAAAGGTTTTGCTAAGCAAACTGTTAGTGCTGAGAGTTCACATTCCTCAGAAATCTTCCTTTTCTGAAAGTTTCAGTGTATTACTAATTAAGCATATGAAGTCCAAATGACTATCATTTCTCTTGTCAGGCTCATTAAGATTGTTTCAAGGGTATTTAGTTAGCAGTTAATTAAATGTTTATATTTTTAAGGAAAATAACCTTTACAAATATTTATATTTATTAAATATGAATATATTTGGATTTAATTGAGAAGGACCTACAAGAACTCACAACGCTTTTAACTGGGCTGTGCTTAGTAATAACCTTAAGTCTGATTTTTCTAACAGATGGCCTGTTACTTTCATATAATGAACTGCCTATATGATGATGCCATTTAAAAAGCAAAGAAAATATCTTTTTTTTCCTCGTAAGTTCCCTGTGAAGACCACCAAACTAGTATACATCAGACCCAGCACATGATTGTAGACCTTCATAGCATTCAAGGCATTATTCTCAATTACATAATTTCTGTCCGCATGTCCTTGGGTAGAAATAGTTCCCACTGAATTATGGTTCAGCTAAGTAGGAGAGTAATTAGCCCACAATGAGAATCAAGGACTGACAATGTTCACTGGGAGAAACGGGCCAAGGAAAACACAGCACAGCCTAGCCTTAAAGAATGAGCTGCTAGGTAGGACTGACGACTTCCAAACTCCAGAAGGTTCACGACACAGGCGGCCAAGGCCCAAGCACACAACTGTGGTCCACGTGCTGCTGGGCTCTGCCTTGCATGAGGAGCCACCGCCAGGGGCACGAGCAACGTCAGTGGCCCAGGGAACACCCGCTAAACTCTCGGCTGGGTAAGTCTGGCCATTTGTGTTTCGTAAAAGGGTACAAAAGCAATAAAGTTGTAAAAAATCAATGAAAACACTAGGAGGGGCAGCTCTGTAACAAAGTCTAAAACTGCCTTTGGAAATTTCGACTTTGCTTCTATATTCTGGAATAAAAGGAGGTTTTCATTGTATCTAACGTATGATTGGCCAAATTGAAAGCAGAAGGAAAATCATACAAATAGACAAATAAACCCAGTGGAACCTTAATAGGTATGAAAAATATACATTTATACCCCTGTCCAGGTAGTATAAAGCCACGTGAACCAAGACATGCAGTAGGATGTCTACAGTTCACACAGGAGAACCATTGGTGGGATCCATCGGAGAAGACAGACTAGATGGTGTATTCTAGAACTAAATCTAGAAGTCTCAAGGTTGAGCTTTACTTAATGTATCAAATTAAAAATAATTCATATTGAAACGCACAGAGAGAGAAGCATTGGATGGTTAACAGATAAAGATAAAAAGTCAGAAATAACCAGGAGGAAATTACGGTAGATAGTATTTTCACCGTCTGCCTACGCTTTGCCACAAAAGGTGGGAGAGGCTTAGTCTTGACTTCTATGGCAAGTCCTAGAAGTCTGCTATTATTATCTATCAGTTGAGAATTAGCTATTTGCTTATCCTCCCCTCAAGAAAGTTCCTTTAAAATAGTAAAATTTACGAAGTAAAACCAACATATTACATAACAATTTTAAAAAGTGCTTAAACTGAAAGCTACTACAAGTAGATATCAGATTATAAAAAAAGATTTAAAAGGCAGTGGTATCTTTTGAAGAAATCAAAACCAGCTACCTCTGGACATATCTGCCTCAAACATTGAGTCGGCAGTTCTAAAGAAATGAATTAAATGATAAAGAAGACCTGTTGATTGAAGATCGAAGAATAGAACGTAAAGAAACATGATATTTGGCAAGGCAGCCATCAAAGATGACAAGGTTTTACAAAGTATATCATAATATTTGAGAAACAAAGTGAAGCTACACTAGGTCATGAGTAGATTAGATCTAAAATACATTTGGTTTACAAAGAAAACAGATTGAGGGAGGGTAAATTACAATAGAAAGACGGAGAATAGGCATGCAGTGAGCATGGTACTGAGCTCAGTGCATGAAAACATACAAACAAAAAATGCCTAAAGGTCTTGGTCATGAAAAGGATGTCAAGCTTGTCCTTTTTCTTTTTTTGACAATTTATTGCACTTTTTAAAAGAGTAAAAACAATGACACAGAATTTCAAAACAAGCTAATAGGGGATTAACAACGAATCAAACTCAGGCCTCGTGCTTGCCAGGCAGCACTGTGCCACTAAGCGATATCGCCAGCCCCAAGAGGAAGCCCCAATTTGACAAAGTCTACCTTGCAGCACAGATAAAACAACTGGATGTTGCATCTGGATTTAGGAGCAAAAATTAAAGCTGGACTGGATGCAATCAATTTGACAATGGGAAGCCAAGAGACCAGCACAGTACGAAGGAAGAAAATCAGAAAAGATATAAGACTGACACTTCCCAGCAAAATTGATGTTAATAGTAGTTGAAAAAGGAAATGACCACTCCCCTTCCACACCGAGTGCCGCAGTGTCAGGCAGGTGGGAGCTGTAAGGACAAATACAGAATCTGGAACATTTCTTGCTCACTGAATTTGGCCAGATGAACTGTATCAGTAGTATGACATGACTCTGCAAAAAGAAGCTGGATTAAGAATGTGACTGGAAGGAGAAAAGGCAGAAGCTATTGGCAACAGAGAAAGTGAAGCTTCCAAGCAGAGAATTTATCGAATGAAAGATGAATGACAAAAAGCCGAGGGAGACTACAGCAGCAGATTCATGACAATCGGTGCTGCTCACGCTTTGGAAAGTCTTCTCACTGCACAGAAGCTTAATGCACACATCCTAAGAAGGTAAAGTTTAGCCACAATGGGAATGAATGCGTTACAAACCCAACTGCAGACAAACCAGGTCATCAAACAATCACAGCAAGTTCTCTCCCCCCTCCCCCCCCCAGCCAGTCCTTTGGACCCACAGCTAACGCTGCTGAAAGACTGCATCTGACTAAGGATCTCCCCGGACAGGCTCTTCTCAGGGTTAAATATGCACCTAGACGTGACTCGGAACCATCTGTGTGCCTCTGTGTGGTCTCAGGAGTAAGTGCTTCCTAAAAGCAACTGAATATTCTTATCTGCTTTATCAGATCAATGACCCAAATCCATCAGTTCCACCCTATTTCTCACTTCTCTTTCCCTTCTGTCAATATTTCCAGATCAATCTTAAATATGACCTTTCTGGGTATCCTAAGAGGTTTTCACAGGGATGCTACCTGAATTTTATAATACTTTCAGCTCTTCTAAACACTGACAACTAAACACAGTGTTAGAGAAGGCTTCACGGTTCCTAATGAGCTGGACGTTTCGCTTTGACCCCTCGCCTTCTACTTCCTACTCACATCTCTGTCCATAACCACTTTTTGGAGAATGCGTGTCATGTGGCTAGGAAACAAAGAGAAGGCTCATGCCCTGTGCGGCTGTGCATAGGTGGTGTGGTCACAAAATCATAAAACAGAGAGCCACGTGGCCACCCTGATGCAAGCCTGACCCGACGGTAAGTGGTGACAGGGACCAGAGAACCAACTGACACCTGACTGCATTTCTGTAGAAGCAGCAATGAGGTGACACATGCTAGGCATTCAAAGACCCTCAGCTTCCTCTTTTGCTTTTGATTTTCTTTTTGCTTCATCAGTAGCGATTAGGACGTATTTGAGTATTTGATTATAAAAGTAGTATGTGTGTGTGAAAAAGACTTTAAGAGATTAATAGTAGTTTCTAACCGTAATATTCAAAGAGCCAATTTAGAATGATGAAGAGGACACAGAACAGTGTTGAAAGATTGGTAAGTTTTTTCCGTTAGAAACGGAGCTAGTTTTTCAGTCTACCTCTGATTTAATCTGCATTCTGATAAATAAGACTCCTCTAGCCACATGTGTGTGACTATTTCAAGGCTGAAGAGTGTAGAGTATCTCATATCTATAGTAAATCACTGTTTCCTTCATTTTCACTAATGCATGGATGTTTAGAAACCATGTATATATTATGTTACAGTCATTCATCAGTAAAAATAAGAAGACTCCTAAACAATTTAAAGCATTATAATAAAATGCTGAAACTTACATGGATCATCTCCAAACATATAGGAATCCTTTAAGTTCACTAGATATCAACATCTGAAGCAAAAGTGAACATGCCCCAAATATACTCGTTTTCAGACTTCTGCAGGCAGATGATTGGAGATGCCCTGCGAAAGGAAGAGCTGGAGACTGAGGCTGAGCTGGGAGGGCCCGGCTGGGAGGCAGGGGGAGCAACGTGTGCACCGGGGGCTGCTCCACCCCGTGACCCCAGGGTTGGGGCTCCAACAGCTGCAGCCCGCTCTTGGGAGGGAGGCACCTGTCTGGGCGCACAGCAGACAGCGGATCACCCCCTTTCTGAGTCTATCTCCCCATCCTCCAGTGGCGTGTGGAAGACTAAGCCAGGTTTACCTTCAGATCTCTGGATTAACCTCCCAACCAAGCGCGGATTAATCCCACAGCCTTCCCACCTGCCTGCCTGATGCTTCAAATTCCTTCAAGATGAACCAAAGCCTTTCATTCCACAATTAGAAGTAAAAGGCTTAAACAGCAAATGCCTGCTAGGAGAATACAAACTAACCCAGACCCTTTGCATTCCCATAAAATGGACCAGGACATACTGCAGAGCCCATGTACCTCCCAAAGGGTCTCATGATGTCCTGGGTGGTAGAGCAGCTCCCATGTGTCACCCTGAATGGTGGCCCCTGAAGCCCAACTCCACGGGG